GGGGGGTGAGGGGGGGGGGGGGGGGGGGTCGATTCCTGCAGACAGAAGCTGTGAAGGTGACGGTGGCACGTGGAGTGACTCTGTGGGGGGGAGTCGACGTGGTGGATCATTACCAAAGGAGGGCATCAAAGGGGAGCAAGCGAGGGGTGCCGGGTGTGGGTGGGTGGTGTGGGTGCTAGTTTCGTCAAGCAATAGCACAGTTCTCGGAGAACTATCGGCGAGAGAGCAAGCGCGCATCTAGAACTAGCCCTTCAAAAGAACCGAACATTCGGGTGTTCAGTGTTCAGCCGGCGATGTCTTGAATTGCCGGCCGGAAGAGCAATTTAGAGCGGTACTATAGAGACAAGCCTTTTTGCCAGGGACGTATATAGCCTACACCAGGCTACATGGGAAGTTTCAAAATACAGTCGTGGTCCCGGGTAACCGCTATTGAGGGCATCGCCGGCGAACCGGATTGGCAGTTATACTGTAGTTTGACCACCGAGGTGCAGCCGTGCCACGAGATTTTGGGACCGCTATTCCGGGCATCCCGCTAAACAGGGAACCGCTAAATCGGGACCACGACTGTAAAAGAAATCTAGTCTCGAGGTCTCGACCGATGGCACATGTACATCATGACACACACCGCGTAAGCACCCTGTTTCTTCTGTACGACCCGCATCTTATGCCTCTGAATACAAGCACGCATGCATTTGAACAGGTACATCGATAATTCCCGTATCGTAGAGCAATAATTCATGGAACTATGTGTGATGTCAGTGTCCATGGTTGTTGCAGCAGTTCGGCTTCTTCCGGCCTACCGCTCGCTGTACATATGCACATGCTGCGGTTACACCGGTGGAACCAAAGCCCCGCCTCAGAGCGCCTGAAGAAGCGGGGCAATATGCGTCGTTGTTTGAAAAATGAAAAAAGCCATGCCACTCGAGCCGCCTTTTTGCACTCCCAAGTCCCGACCAGCAGCAGCGCTGTTCGGTTGCAGAGCGCGAAGGTCGCAACAGACCCGCGCACAACACTTTCGGGTCTTCTATGTTTGTCTTGCACGCACACTGCTGTTTCGAAGGACTCCGGTGGGATTTCATACTGTAGTCTTCGTTGTAAGTTGTGGAAACAAACCTCTCTGCACAAGTACTTCTTGTGCGCTGCTCGCGCTCACCACATGCGCATTACAGCAGTATCAACGAGGTCCTTCCAGGCACCGCCGCACTAAAACTGCTGCTGTTGTTGCTGCATTCTGTTCCAAATTCTGGAATACTATTTACATGGACGCACATCCTCGGAACGTCAATCAGGAAAACCGGCGTCTTGCTGTGTGCTGTAGTCTGCTGGACTGGGGACGTTAGTGTTTTTATTACCCATATCCAAAGAGACAGAATTTCTCACATCCTGCAACCAATACACGCATAGCAAGGATGATGCACCAGCAGTACCCTCTACCTTGAAGGCATCGTACTCTCCCTTGCGCACAGAGGAAGAAGAAGTCCCCGGCGCTCTCGGACTGCTGCGTTTGAACCCGCCCCCCCTTGCTCCCCTCGGTGTTCTAGCAGCAGCAGCAGTAGCAGCGGTAGCAGCAACAGTAGTGCTCAGGCTTCTCGGTCGAGCGGAAGAAGACGCTGCGTCTCCCGCGTTGCCTGTCATCGCTCTTCTTCGGGGCGAGAAGATGTTCATCGCGGAAAAGCTATGGCGGCCTGCCTGCTGTTGTCGGTGCCTCGTCAGAGGCACTAACAGATGCAGCAGAGTCGACGCTCGCTGCTATAGCTGTCAGCTGTGTGCCCTCTGCTTTTCCATCTTTGGGGGGAGACGCCGAATTAAACAAGCGACACGCATGCAACACGCGGAGCCCCCACCCCACCCATCATTGTGCCGACCATGCATGCATGCCATGCATTCCATGCGGAACATTTGGAACATTTGTTTGCGTTTACCAACTGCCAACACACATTGACACACATTGACAAACTACAGCCAAACGAGAGCGTGGGAGAGATCTCATGGCGAAGCTTCTACGGCTGTGTCTCGGGCTGATCCTTTGCGTTACTGTCCTGGCTGACGAAGAAGACGTTATTGCTGCGTCGGAATCACCACAGGTGGGTGGATGGAGGTGGTGTCCAAATGACCGAACATTGACGAGAGCAGCACGTAGTGTTGAGCTTATTCATCAATCAACCATGCCACATGCCACATGTACGGCGCTATGAAACCCCGCCCCCCGCTTGTTGTCGCCACAAAGCCACGTCTCGCCCCTGCCTTGCTTCATGGATGGTGGGCCTGCGAGATTGCCTTTGGGTGTTGCGATGCTTGCCCGCGTGTGCGATTGATTTTTCCGCGTGGTACTGCTGTAGGACACTAAATAGTGCTATAAAATACCAGCAAGGGGCAATCTATGTTTGTTTGTATCTCCGCGCATCGTCTCCCCCCCCCTTCCACCCCTCTGCTGCCGTAAACCAAAGTCTACAACAGCAGCATCTGTAGCTTTCAAATCGCTCGCGGTAGACAGTTTTAGCAGTACCAACATCGCCTGCGGGATCTTTGTGGGTGCCGGCAGCGGGAGCACCAGCAGCAGTGCTTGCTTGTGCCGTCGACCAAAAGCAGATGTCTCCGACAGCAGAGGCAGCAGCTTCTTCTTTTTTCTGCAAGTGACACACCTCCTACATATGCACACCTGCACACCCCAAACCCCAACCGGAAATACAACTTTCAGCCCCGTCTCCCAAAGGCTGTGCGGATGGAACTTTCGGTTCCCAGCGGGTAGCGTTGGCGGGCAGGTTAGGGGAAGCTTCCACATGTCGGAGCAGGCGCGCAGCCGGTTTTGTTTACCCATCGGCGCAAAGCACAAACAAGAAGATTTGTTCTGCTCCGCAACGCGGGTAACTACGTAACGGGACAACAGCAATTCGTTGTTCTGTCAGTTGCCAGAACTTGGGGCGGTTGGACCTCTACCGCCGTGGGTAGTGGGTAGGTTGCAGAGGATACCACCCTCCCAGAACCGACTTCCAAAGGCTGATTACTCCGCGGGGCGAAGAGGATGCCGAAACCAAATGCCGCGTTTGTTTTCGGAAAGCTCTCGAATAGATAGATAAGCGGTTCCAACGCCTCCCGCCATTTTCGGTTTCCGTTGCTACTTTTCCAGGGCCGAGAGTGTAGTCGAGCTTTTGAAAATCGGGGTGTGTGATATCTTACGCAACCTGCGGGTACAACAATGTGTCCTCTACGCTCCCTCTCCCTCTCTCTCATTTGTCGCACGTAAGGATGCCGCTGCGTGCTCGTGCCCTTAAAGTGTGGTACCCATATCGAGGGAGGCCCATATCGAGGGAGGTAGATACGTGGCTCTGCTTACCACGAGCAAGCCGCTGAGAAGCATTGATATTCCGAGGAGTTGAACATGTGTGTGTGGTGGACGGCAGCAGCGTCCTCTCTCTCTCTCCCTTTGTGCATGCCGTCTGTCTGCCATGTACCCCGCCGCCCGGCACCTACTTTACCCC